AGACAGATATAGAGTATATACATATATATATATCTATAGAGTCGGTGCTCTGTGGACAGAGATATGTGGTATTGGATGCCCGCTGCACTGCATCTGTTAGAGCCGGAACGGTACGTTGCGTATCCTAAAGAAAATCATAAAAAATTTTAGAGAAATTCTTCAATTTTTATAAGCTATATATACACACACACCCGCACACACACACACACAAAAAAACACGCGCACACACACACAAAGGGTGAGCATTACAAATGTATTTGAAAAACGGCAAAGGTGCTAAAAACATTTGGCCATAAGCAAAAGCAGCTACGCCAATTGCAATGCACTTGGCCATTAAAAACTAACAGCAACAGAAGCAGCAGCTACAACAACAACAACAACAACAACTGCAACAAGAACAAAAACAATTTATAATAATAAACTTAAAAATAATAATAGCTTTAACGCATTCGCATTGGCATTGGCACGGAAATGAATTTGAATTTGAATTTCTTTTCATTTTGTTTTTCTCTCTCTGCTTTGTTTTGCTTGTACTGAAGCGCAAAAGAATTATTACGCCAAATTGTTGGAATACCTGGACTAGCCTCTGTGCCTGTGTATCTGTGTATCTGTGTGCATCTCTGTGTGTATGTGTGTGTATTGGTGCGCCGTTGACAGCTGCCTTAACTAAATGCAGCTGCATTAAGCGTGCGTGTGCTTTGTCTCTGTGTGCGAAAGCTTTCGACTCGAAAGCAAACAGTGAGATTTATACGAATTTTCGAGCTAATCAAAAGACAAACGACAAATCTCTGTGGATGCCAAAAGGGAATTTCACATTATGGATATCATATATGACTCTGCAGAGTCCACCCCAACCAATGAAGACTGTCCTCGCAAGCCTGATCAAGCCTGAGCCCAACTGGTAAGGTTGGATTGCTCTCCGGTCTCAGCAGATGAAGTTTGAAGACCCCATCCACTAAACCCTCCTGAGGATTTTTCCTTTGACTGAGTTTTTTTTAACGTCACGTATATTATACTTACCACATTTAATCATTGTCCAAATGGACAGATTTTAAATATACTTACACACTCAAAAATATATATATGATATATATGTATATATTTTTCGAGACTTCAATTTGTTCTCAATACAATATCAATAAATATCAACTTGTAACTAGATTTGTATAGGAAAATTCCGATTCTGAATAGTTGGAAATCTTAACTTCATATACATATAAATCATATGAATATGTGTAAGCTTTATATTTTCATTATATGGAAATCATATACATAAACTCAATATTTTTTTAGTATTTATAGCCTTATCTATATATAATGAACTTGACTCTGTGCTATGTGATATAGATAGATATAGATAGATGATCGACTCATCTGTCCTTATCGCAGCTAGAGCCTATGCACGTATTTATATATGTATATATATCGTGGCTAAACTCCATTTAAAAAGTGCCAAAATTTCTTATACTTGGCTCTTATCATTTAGGGAATTATTTACACTCTATACAATATAAACATTCAAGGAGTTTTAGAATTTAAAATATATATTCTGACTAAAATTATATGGTAAAATAATACACAATTACTTTTAATGTTGAACGAGTATTGGACAGTCGACTATGCTCAGCCGATGTAGCTTTTTTTGGGCTAAAAAGTCTAGCTTGAAACGAGCTAAAAAATTTAGGTGCGCGTGCATAAATTAAATTTACAATTATATTGTCTCTAGGTGACGATAATGTTGTCGCAGCATATTGTTGTTGTTGTTGTTGTTGTTGCTATTGTTGTTGTGATTTATTATGTATTTATTATTGTTGTTGCTACTGCTGCTGCGGCTGCGGCTGTTCATAATTATGTTGTTGTAGCCATTGCCAAAAAAAAAAAAAGCAAAACAAAAAAAATCTCAAATACATTTTTGAAAATTCCACTTTTCCATGTTGGTTGTTGCTATTTGTTGTTGTTGCAGCCGTTGTTGCTGCTGCTGCTGCTGTTGCTGTTGTTGTTGTCATTTGTATTTGGCTTTTCTGTCAAGCCGTATCGGGCGATGATGAAATCACAACAATTCAAACACCTTTTAGTATCAATTTTGCGCCGTCTGTCATCGGCTCTACAAAACACTTCAAAAGACGATCTCGGTGTCTCTCTCGCTCCCTCTGTGTGTCTCTCTCTCGCTCTCTATGTCTCTCAGGCTTATTTCTTCTTATATATATAGTTGCATCGTTTGGTTGCTGTCAAACGCTGTTTACTTCTTTATCTCTATTTCTACTTATATGCCTCACTCGCTGTTCCTCTATGATTACCGTTAACACGCTCTCTTTCTCTTTGTGTCTCTAATTAGTATGACTTTAGCTCTTTGCACTGCCTATCTCGCTCTTTATCTGTCTTCTATTCTTTTCTATTTCTCGATCTCTATGTGTTTCCATCTCCGCCTTCCTTTCGATAACTCTCGCACTCTCTTTGTTTCTCTTAAATTCACTCCCTCTTGCTCTGCCTCTCCCTTTCTTTCTCTCTATCTGCCCTCTCTTTCCCTTTCTCTTCTCTCTCTATCTCTAACTCTACCTTGATCAACTGTCTTCTGTCTCCCATTTCCTTTTCACGAGTTGTTTACGTTACGTAATAAACGTTACGTTACGTAGCTGCTCAATATCTTCCTTACTCGAACTTCTATCTATGTTCTTCCCATTTGCTTCCTTGCATTGATTAATGAATGAATTGTTATAGTGTCACAAATATATACAAATATATGTATATACATATATACACATAATGTATATATATTTATTTACACTCTGGCGATAAGAACTTAATTTGTTAATGAAACTTTTGTGCCTGTGGTTTTTTATGTTTACTCGCAAGAGCTGAGCAGTTTTAAAGTTGTTCAATTAGTCAGTTAATCAAGCAATTAGACATTCAATTAATCAATCACCAAATCTTAACCAGAAACTTTTAAACTTCCTAAGTTTGCTTCAAAAAATAGTTTAGCAAATTGCTCAGCTTTAGGATTCGCGTCTGTCTCTTTGCGTCTGCGTCTTCTTCTTCTTCTTCTAGCGATAGCATTTGCCCCTTTTGTAGAGTCGGTGGGCGTGGTAATCTGCGTGAATGAGTTATCGTTCATTCAGGGAAACATCATTGCATATTGAAAGACTGAATATTTTATTGCAAGGTCAACGACTATGAAATACCCTATAAAAAGATTGAAAACTCAAAGTTAAAAGAATCTTTTCTATATATTTATTTCAACATATTCCGTATTACAACTTAAACTAAAAACGTCAAGTAGTTTGACCTAGCTAATATACCCGATAGAGAGATAGAGAGAGAGTTATACATTCTTTCTATTATTTGTATTTGTCTGTTTCGCATGCAGCGAGCAAGAAAACACGATGCATCGCCGCATAAGTTAACCATATCAAAAATATATATACACATGTATATATAGTAGATATATACATATATATGTATATTTATCAAAGTCAACATGTGGAGTGTTTGCCTCTGCGATAAAGTCAAGGTTCGCAATGCAAGAAAACGAGGAGGAAACGAGAAAATCAAACAATTTATTTGCTCTAACAGCTGAAGAGTCTATGCCCTAAATCAATTAGATACAGTAAGGCATGGCTATAACAAACTCACTATACGATTATATTAAAGACTCTAAGTGGAGGCGAATATTATTATATTAATCTAGTATAAGTTCTTACAAAAGGTATATGATGTAGTCGTAGGATATGGTTTATGCGCTCTTTATGTATATATAGAGAAAGCTGGGATTACTTGTTTGATATAGTAAAAAGCACTCCTAAAGTGTGAAGTTATAGAGAGAGAGAGAGAGAGTTCAGCTACGAACTATAAATCAATTTTATGAGCTAGTTCAATAGAGCTCCTTTTATGACTGGTTCATTTTATAGACTGCTACAATTAGCTTAAAAGTTAATGTATACGACGTGCCGTAGTTCATTTGAATGAGCCAGTGTGAACGAACTAGTTCCAAACTTCAATGAATAATCTGTACCTCTTAAAACTCAAAATACAATTTTGTCAGACTAGCTAATGGTTTGTAGTAGACTCCTTTAATACTGCATGGTCGTAGCGCCTATTTGTCTGTTGTTTTTGAGTCACAAATTCTCTGCGCCCCCCGAGACGGTTCGCTTATATCAATAAAGCATGTGAGTAATCGAACGCGCTTTTTTTTCCGCATCATGTAAATAATGAAGCTGATTACGAAAACTTCCAGTTTTATTGTTGTTGTTGTCGGAAGCGGGCTATCATGTCTTTGCAATGACTTAATAACACTATCGAACACTAAAAACTTTTTGGGGAAAGAAAATGTTCTTTTTTGAAGGGTTAGATACAGTCTGGATAGCAAATAGATAGACAGAAAGTAATCCAGCACTGCTATCGATAAGTATGGTATTTTGATATCATAATGTAGATAAGGATATAATGATCGGTTCTCAAATACTACGATTTTGTTAGGCAGTGTCGCTCAGCTGAACTTAATTGCGAGACAGATACAGACAATTCAGAGAATTCAGTAATACAAAATCAGTGAAATTATATTGGTAGCATTATTTTTATCGCTAATCGCAATCGATAGATATGATTTAAGTGGAAATATAAAGAAAGCCTAAATCAATATGAATTCCCTCGTCATCTTCTATAGAAAACTTGAACAAGTTGTTCTTCGATAAATAATTAAATTAAATTTATATTATGCGTTTGTAAAAGTTTTTCTAGGTTGCTGTGGTCTGGTAGTGCTAGATGATTAGATGTACAGCTAGAGTTATTTTTGAAACAAAATTGTTTATCTTTTAAACATCTTTTTTGTTACTAAACTTAAAATTAAATTAAATTTATATTAATATAACGTATAATCGCGTTGATCATTAGTAGCTGCTATCGTAATCGTTATCGGCTATCGACAAAGTATAATTCAGCTTAATTGATAAGCAAAAAATGTGATCGTCTATCGATAAATGTATCAAATTAGATTTGCATTACTAATGATGAGTTTTTGTTCTTCCTCCTTTATAGAGCGAAGGCGCTGGAGCGCGAGATGCGCGATCCGACCAGCAGCTGCAACGTGGACTGCCTGCTGGACACGGTCTCGGCTCTGGTCAGCGATTGTAGTCACGAATCGCTGAAGCGTTTCAAGAACATCGATCAATATGCATGTAAATGTAAGTATTATAAACTGAGATATATCGTTCATATTTGATATTTATACACATATATTTCACTCTCCTTTAAATAATAGATAAGCCCCTGGCACAGCAGATCAATCAGCTGCGCATGAATGTGGATGATTTCGATTTCATCAAACTGATCGGAGCTGGTGCCTTTGGCGAGGTGCAGCTGGTCAGGCACAAGTCATCCAGTCAGGTGTACGCCATGAAACGGCTATCCAAATTTGAGATGATGAAACGTCCGGATTCCGCCTTCTTCTGGGAGGAGCGTCACATTATGGCGCACGCGAACTCCGAATGGATTGTACAATTGCATTTCGCATTCCAGGATAGCAAATACCTGTACATGGTAATGGACTTTATGCCGGGCGGTGATATAGTCACGCTAATGGGTGACTATGATATACCCGAGAAATGGGCCATATTTTACACAATGGAAGTGGTCCTCGCCTTGGACACCATACACAATATGGGCTTTGTGCATCGCGACGTTAAGCCCGACAATATGCTATTGGATAGCTATGGCCATTTGAAGCTAGCCGATTTTGGCACCTGCATGCGCATGGGCCCCAACGGTCAGGTGGTGTCCAGCAATGCGGTGGGCACACCCGACTACATCAGTCCCGAGGTGCTGCAGTCTCAGGGCGTGGACAACGAGTATGGGCGAGAGTGCGATTGGTGGTCGGTGGGCATATTCCTATATGAGATGCTATTCGGCGAGACGCCCTTCTATGCGGACTCACTCGTTGGCACCTATGGCAAAATCATGGATCACAAGAACTCGCTTAGCTTTCCCGCCGAGGTGGAGATCAGTGAGAATGCGAAGTCATTGATACGCGCCTTCCTCACGGATCGGACACAGCGATTGGGTCGCTATGGCATCGAGGACATCAAGGCGCATCCGTTCTTTCGGAACGATACGTGGTCGTTTGATAATATACGACAGAGTGTGCCGCCTGTGGTGCCGGAGCTGACGTCCGACGATGATACGCGCAATTTCGAGGATATTGAACGAGATGAGAAGCCCGAGGAGATGTTTCCGGTGCCCAAGAGTTTCGATGGCAATCATCTGCCCTTCATTGGCTTCACCTATACGGGCGACTATCAGCTGCTGTCGAGTGACACAGTCGATGCCGAATCGAAGGAATCACAGTCGGTGAACAGCAGCACCAATGCAAATAACAATCATGGACACACTCATCGCCATCGGCCGTCGAATTCGAATGAGCTGAAACGGCTCGAGGCGCTGCTCGAACGGGAACGGGCTCGCTGCGAGGCACTGGAGCAGCAGGACACGAGATTGAGGCAACAACTGGATTTGATCACCAAGCGAGAGGCCGACCTGCAGCGCATTGCGAGCGAATATGAAATGGATTTGACGCTGAGGCAGCACAACTACAAGGTGGCCATGCAGAAGGTCGAGGTGGAGATTGAGCTGCGCAAGAAGGCGGAGGCGTTGATTGTGGAGACACAGCGGAAGCTGGAGAACGAACAAAAGACACGCATGCGTGATCTGAATATCAATGAGAAGGTTCTCACGCTCGAGAAGCAGCTGCACGACATGGAGCTGAGCTTTAAGAACGAAACGGAGCAAACGCAGAAGCTGAAGAAGCAGAATGCCGAGCTGGGCTTCACGCTGAAAACACACGAGGAGAAGGTGCGCGACTTGGTCGAGCTGAATAAGACGCTGCAGAAGGAGAAGGAGGAGCTCGATCAGGAGAATGCCGACTTGCAGGCGCAGGTGGCGCAGGAGAAAACGCTGCGCTCCCAGCTGAAGGTTGTCCACAAGGAAGCTGAGAACAAGATGCAGACGCTGACAAATGATTTGGAGCGCTCGCTGCAGCGGGAGCAGAAGGCGCAGGAGGATAATCGTGCGCTGCTGGAGAAGATTAGCGAACTGGAGCGAACGCATGCGAGTCTCGATTTTGAGCTCAAGGCCGCACAGGGTCGCTATCAGCAGGAGGTGCGCGCGCATCAGGAGACGGAGAAGTCGCGTCTCGTCTCGCGCGAGGAGGCCAATCTGCAGGAGGTGAAGGCCTTACAGTCCAAGCTCAATGAGGAGAAATCCGCACGCATCAAGGCCGATCAGAATTCGCAGGAGAAGGAGCGACAGCTGAGCATGCTGTCCGTCGACTATCGCCAAATCCAGCTGCGTCTGCAGAAGCTGGAGGGCGAGTGCCGGCAGGAGTCGGAAAAGGTGGCCGCACTCCAGTCCCAGCTGGATCAGGAGCATATCAAACGCAACTCGCTGCTCTCCGAAAGAAGTTTGCACACTTCGGAGGTGGCGCATTTGCGTTCACGAGAGGCTCAGCTGCAGAAGGAGCTGGCGGCGCAACGCGAGGCTAAGCGACGCTTGGAGGAGGATCTAACGCAGCTGAAGGCCACACATCACGAGGCATTGGCCAACAATCGGGAGCTGCAAGCCCAACTGGAGGCGGAGCAATGCTTCTCGCGCCTGTACAAGACGCAGGCGAACGAGAATCGGGAAGAGAGCGCCGAGCGTTTGTCCAAAATCGAGGATCTCGAGGAGGAGCGCGTCTCGCTGAAGCACCAAGTGCAAGTGGCTGTCGCTCGCGCCGATTCGGAAGCACTTGCTCGCTCCATCGCCGAGGAAACGGTGGCCGATCTCGAGAAGGAGAAAACCATCAAGGAGCTCGAACTGAAGGACTTCATAATGAAGCATCGCAACGAGATCAATGCCAAGGAGGCGACTATAGCCGCGCTCAAAGAAACCGAAGCCGATCTGCACAAGAAACTCAAATCGAAGAGCAGCGAATTGGACGAAATGCTCGCGCAGCACAAGAAACAGCTCGAGGAGCTGCAGCAACAGCGCATCGCCAAGGACGAGGAGATCGCCAAGCTGGGCGAGAAGTGCAAGAACGAAGTGCTGCTCAAACAGGTGGCCGTGGCCAAACTAACCGAGGTCATGAATCGTCGCGACTCCGACTGGCCAAGTAAGCCTCTCATGTCCATTGCTAATGCGCTCCATATACATATTATTTATTCCTGTATTCTTGTTTGTTTTTTTCTTTAGAACAAAAGGTCAAGGCTCGCTCCACCGCCGAACTGCGCAAAAAGGAAAAGGAGATGCGTCGCTTGCAGCAGGAGCTGTCGCAGGAGCGCGAGAAATACAACCAGATGCTGCTTAAATATCAGGATCTGCAACAGCAGGCCGTCGAGGATCAGCAGGTGAAGCAGAAGATGAGCATGGAGATCGATTGCAAGGCCACCGAAATTGAGCATCTACAGAGTAAGCTCAACGAGACGGCCTCGCTGTCGTCGGCCGACAATGATCCAGAGGATACTCAGGTAAGGCACACACTCACTCTGTTTTCTGCTCGGACTCAACTATTTCTTCTCTCACTTACACAGGACTCCGTCTTCGAGGGCGTCTTGTCTGTGCCAAATAAACAGAATCGTCGCCGCGGCCAGAACTGGAAGCGACAATATGTGATCGTCTCGTCCCGCAAAATCATCTTCTACAATACAGAAAATGACAAGAATAAAACGACAGATCCCGTGCTCATACTCGATCTAAGGTAAGTCGTTATTCCTCAACAGAGTTTGAAACAGACCTTACCGTATAAACCCTTCGCCTTGCAGCAAAGTCTATCATGTGCGCAGCGTTACCCAAGGCGACGTCATACGCGCCGATGCCAAAGAGATTCCGCGCATCTTTCAGCTGCTGTACGCCGGCGAGGGCGCCTCCCATCGTCCCGATGAGCAGCTGGATGCGACTCTGCATGCCAGCAGCAATGAGGAGCGGCCAGGCACCATTTTGCATAAGGGTAATTTAATTGTGAATTATTAAGCATTAGTTATTTGATGTGGGACTAGGCGTTAGCTATGATTGACTGAGCGATTGATTGCCTGATTGATTTGCTGCTAGACAAACAAATGGTTGACTGCATCTATAAGTTTGGGCGATAAAGATTGCTACTGAGTGATTGATGATGATTGATATAAGCTGTATATTTAATCATTTGATACTTGCTTGAGGATTGATTCTATATAATTGATATTGATTGACTATAATATTGACTGTTTATGATCATATGATCTTTGCTGATTGACTAACTGCCTGATTGATTGACTGATTGAATTCATATTAAGAAACAATTGAGTGCAAAGCTTATGAATTATACAAATCTAAACACTAACTAAATTCAACTCTCTCTCTCTTTCCTTTGCATCCCCCATCTCACTCACACTCTATGGCTATCCCTGTCTAGGTCATGAGTTTGTTCACATTACGTACCACACGCCATCGTTCTGTGACGTCTGCGCCAAGCCGCTTTGGTCCGTGTTTAAGCCGCCGGCGGCCTACGAATGCAAGAGGTAAGCCTAACAGATATCTTTAGTACGTTCCTTATATACACATCCTCACATTCTCTATCTGATCTTCAATCAAGATGCCGCAATAAGATACACAAGGAACATGTGGACAAACAAGATCCACTGGCGCCATGCAAACTGCATTTGGATCCGCGCAGCGCACGCGACATGCTGCTTTTGGCCAACACGCCCGAGGAGCAATCTCTGTGGGTGGCACGCCTGCTCAAGCGTATACAGAAGAGCGGCTATAAGGCCAACTCATCCAATAACAACACCACAGACGGCAGCAAAATATCGCCCAGGTAAAACAGAGTCAGAGTCCTTTAGAAAGAAACCGGCTCAAAGTCCCCGAAATCCCATTGACGTTGCCAAAACTATTATAGGGAGAACCGTAACCCACTCGCTGCTAATACAAATGGCTTTTTGTGTATCTAATCCTAAGCTAATTGATTTCGTATTTTTCTTTTCTCGCTTGTTTCACAAACTACTCGCTCGTATCGCTCGCTACTCTCGTTCGAATCGAACTACTCGCGCTTCTTCTCCTCGAACTACTCGTTGCGCCCTGCTGCATACCACTACACCAACACACACCATCATCTTGATCATGATCAACTATCCATCTACTATCACCACTCGCTACCCGCCACCGTCGCTGCAGCCAATCGACACGTTCCGCCTACAAGCCGTATGCGCCGAACGTGCAACGTTCTGCCACGCTGCCGGCCAACTCTTCGTTGAAGCAATGAAGCTCGTCTGGCATATACAAAATTAGCTACAGATGCATACACTATACATGTATATTTGTATATGTATAAACTCATTTATATATATATGCATATATATATATATCTACACACAACTAATTGGAGCATGTGTGATGGGGTGGCGCGAGGAAGATGATGCTGCAAATTCATTTCAAATGTTGGAAAGAGAAAAACAACAAACAAGCCAACAACAAAAGGTTGTCTTCTAACAGATTGTATCTAATGTTCATACCAACTACTTATAACTAAAATATCTACTTAATTTAACGCTACATAAATGCATACTACTACAACTACAACAACTACTACTACTACATCGATTCCGCGTAATATATATTCACATATATAAAAGATATTTTTTGATTCATTTACACTAAAAACAAGAAAACTCTTTAAATGTCAAGTTAAGTTAAAAAAAAAAACAACAACAACTATAAGTATATGCTCTATAAACAATTGTTTTTGCTATGGCAACGTCAACTTCCACAACCTGAAACGTTAACTGAGTTCTCTATTATATAATCCAATAGGTTCGTAATTTAGCTGTACTTATATACATATATATCAAATATACCATATACTATATAGACTCTATACACATATACATATATATACAACTTTTTTTTTGTATTTCCCAACATTTTTGTTAGTATTTAAGGATAAGGCAAAGTAACGAGTGATTTGTAACTAGAGCGATAACGATTGCGATATATATATATATGTATGTATCTATGTATA